GCCTCTGTCCATAGAATCAGCAAAATCGGTAATACTTATTATTGATCTTAAGCTGCTTCATATTTTATGGTTCAGGACAAATACCAGTTCCAGAATTGAATCTGATTGAAATTTTAGACAGCTGATGCATAGTCACGCTTATCAGGTGAAAAGACGCTTACCTGCTTCGATTCAGGCTAGGAAAGCCGACGTTACGCCCTCCTGAGTTCGTCCACAGCGATTGATCGTGGTCGTCGTCGTCGTCGAAGAGGTGTCTCTTTGTTACTCAGGTGAATTTCTACGTCCAGCTGTCTTCGACGTGCAGTTGATTGCGTTGATCGTTGCCATGGCATCTGCATCGCACACCGCCGTTTGCGGTGTGTGATCCGGCGGATGCCGGACCGAGCAGTCGTCATCAGAAGCGTTGAAAAACGATGATCGATTTTGACGGCATTCTCTAATAGTCAGCAGCGCTAATTGGCCGACGTTGGCCGCGATCGGACCTGCAGGCCAACCAGTGACCAGATATAACATCCGATTTGAGCAAGCGGCTAGGCGGAGTGTCAACAGAACCAAGAATTCGCGCAATATTCCTTGGTTTTGAGAGTTCGTCACAGATCGAACGAACTACTCTAAGGAAATGGAAATCTTACTCAAGATTTTCCGAATTCTGATTATTCTCGAAGATCCTCGACATTCTTCATTGACAGCGAGTACCTGCGCTTTTACGGAAACACTCAAGACATAGCTCTCAACTAATGTCTCTAAATTATGGGCTTAAAATTTCCTGTTTGCCATTTGACTTATCCATTTCATAAGCCTACATCATCTGTCAATTGCTTCCCTATGTACAAATGTCATGCTATTAAGTTACGAGAAAGACAACGGCACCAAATGAAAATTTGTGCTCCTGATGTTCGCCACCTACGCTGCCCTTAGCTTTCCATCGTTCAGGATGTTAGCTGTGCTAACACCATAGGCAATCCTTAAAAATTGACGTTGCCACGTCAGATGTATCCTCATTCTTTTTAGTATTTTCTTTTGCGTCTGTGCTTCAACAGAAAATAACACGACTCCTTGGAGTTTTCGACCTGTCACTCATACAAGTAGTAGCTGTTTTGTCTTTGTGGAAAATTTAATTTCTGTAAGTATTTATGGAAATGTTACTCAACCATCGCAGTTGTGATTTCCTAACCTGGAGAAACAGCAGCTCTAATCCAAGGTTTTGTCGGTTATCTGAACACCTGACCAGTCAACAAGTGCGAGCCTTACGATTCGTCCCAGAAATCCCATTTCAGCTGTTTACACTCATGATCAAAATGCATCACTCATTGCATAAAACATCTGATCGTAGATGAGCATCAGGATGAAGATCGACTTTAATATGGAGAGCTTAGTGTTCATTCTCAGCTCTGATTTAATCATAAATGGTTGGCTTAGTTTGCCAGTCGATCTCGTGCTTCCATTTTCCACCACCAATAAAAACGACTTCAAGGAACTTGAACTTCCTCACTTGTTCCACTGATTTTAGTCACTTTACACAGCGCAACTGTGATCGCTAGGCTTTTCATTTTAAACATGCTCACACACACGCCGGCAACGTGGCGGGGTGGGGGGGGG